CAGTATGAATCGAAATCAACTCACTGGCCTTAGGTTTGGCGTGGTGTTCTACTCGATACTGATGTGGTATTAAAGTTCAGGGCGAGGGATGTGGTCATTGGCCCTGGGATTTGTTCTCAGTCTCCCAGTGAACCTAGTTGGATCCTTCCTAAGAGCTTCTTGCCTTTCCCCCTACCTCTTAGATAAATCAGGACGATTAGAGGGACGAGCTCAGGCTAAGCAGTTTCCCATGAGGGCAGGCGATCATCTCGGGGTTCCATCAGTCTCGTTTTGGCCAGTAAGCTGGTCACTCTTATAGCAAAAGGACTTTTCAAAGACTAATCAATAAGGCAAGCTCTCCCATGTCAACAGCACACGGTGCATGCAGTGGGTCTCACTTGTTTCCTCTCCGGTCATGATCACTCTTGAGCTTTGTTGAGCCCTTTCCAAGTGCCCTGGCGCCCCAGTCTGACCTTGATGCCACCTAAAGAAACTTCCCCATCACAGGACTGAAGACTCAATGCATTTCCAACTTCTCCAGGGTTTCGAATATCTGCTCCGCCTGCAGATCACAAAGGTCATTATCCCCCCCCCACCGGCCCCCCAGACGCATGGAGTTCAATCGTATGGTTAGTTATCCACTTGTTCAGGAAGTTAACTAAAACAGCCCCATGCTTGCTGCGTTTCCGAGGTACACCCAGGTATGCCCACTCTCATGCTCCTGTGCTTCCCAGGACCCTCAACGCAGACCTTCCTTCCCCTAGGTGTGCTTTGCCTGTGTGGATGGGCAGGAGTTCCACCTCGCACAGCTGTGTGGTCTTCACATCGTCATCCACGCAGATGAGCTGGAGGAACTGACCCACTATTACCAGGTAACCAGTCTTCAATCAGAAAGGAGCCCTGACAGGACAATTGTGGTTGGAGGAAAGGGTGCCAGCCCCCCACCACTAATCGTGGGTTTCATAAGCACAATTGTACGGTTGAAATATATATATCAAAAAAAAAAAAGAAATATATATATCATAATAAAGTCACAGAGAGCACGAGAGATAGAAATAATGGAGTCAGACACGTTTCATGGTAGTATGCTCACCTCAGCCCCGCTGCTTGGTGGTCCACGTGGAGAGAGGGGGAGGGGAAGGAGAACAGGGGAGAGAAGAGGGGGAACCGAGAGGCCAAGAGGGGAGCCTGAGAGAGAGCTCTTCATTGCTAACCCAGGCCTATATACCTTTGGGGGCAGTGCAAGCCCACAGGAAGGGGTTGCACTATAGGTGATACAGCAATGAGGGGGACAATCTAGGGATATACATGCAATAGGAAGAGGAGGGATTAGGGGTATCCATGTGACAAGGGGGGGGGTCCTAGATTCAGGATGGCAGCCTAACTTTGGATGTCACTGAGCCGTTTTAATCTGTTCTCTAGATCTCCATAGAAACCATTATCAGTAGGGTGTAAACTCCACCTACAGGCACTAAATCCAAGGCTATAAGCCTTTAGGGAGAAGTAGCCCATTGTCTTCAACAGCAAGGAGCAGGCCCTACCAGTCCGGAGAGTTGTTTGGCAACTGACTGCCTTCAGGGAGGTAGCTTGACCATCATTTACCATTAGCTGCAAACAGTGTCCTAAGTCTAACATATTTGGGGGAGACTATTTGGGAGAAATCTTTCTATTTCCCACACACGCAGATGAGCTGGAGGAACTGAGCCACTATTCTCAGGTCGCCAGTCTTCAATTAGAAAGGAGCCCTGACAATAAAATGAGTTATGCACTGGGATAGTCACCACAAGGCTGGGCAAGTCAAACCTATTAGCCACTCCAAGGGAGAAAGATGAGCATTGTACATTTGCTTCCTTATTGAGGGGTTGAGTGCTGTCCTTACACTTTGCTTTTGTGTGGTTGGGTGTTTTACATATGCTGCATTGTTGGGTTGTTGAGTATCATATGTAGTCTTCACTGTTGTATAGTGGAGTGTGGCTCCTACGCTTTGCTGTTAGAGGGTTGGCTATTATGCTTTGCTCTGGCGTGGTTGAGTGTCATACTTGAGTTTCATTTGAGTGGCTGAGTATCCTAGTTACGTTTCACTGTTGAGCGGTTTTGTACGTAGCTTTGATGTCCTCACTCAAACTCACTGCCATCCAGTCAATGTCGACTCAGCGCGACCCTGTAGGACAAGGTAGAACTGCCCTTAGGGGTTGGTTTCCCAGAAGAGAACTTTTGACAGGAATAAAAGCCCAGAGTGACTGGTGGTTTTGAACTGCCCACCTTGTGGATCGCAGCCCAACTCAACTACTACACCACCAGTGGTGAATATATTAGTTACACTTGGCTTTTGAGTGAGTGGTTGAGTATCTTACGTATGTTTCACTCTTGGGTAATTGAGTATTATAATTATGCTTCCTTCTTGTGTGATTGAGTATTGTACTTAAGCTTTGCTCTTGGGTGGTTTAGTATTTTGTACTTCAGCTTCCCTCTCGAGTGGCTGAGTATTGTACTTAGACTTTGTTGTCGGATTGCTGAATATGATGCTTTGCTTTGGGGTAGTTGAGTTTTGTACTTATGTGTCACTGTCCGGTGGTTGGATGTCATACTTTAGTTTCATTTGAGTGGTTGAGTATCGTACTTACAGTTCACTGTTGGATGGTTGAGTGTTGTACTTACGCTTCATTCTTGCATGGCTGAAAGGCAGACATCAGCATGTTAACGAACCTGACCCTCCACATGTGGGACTCCTGGAGCTGTGCATCCATACCAGGTGCAGTTGGTCAAGACACACCATTGGATTTTGCTTAGTTCTGTTACCATCCCATGAAACTCAGCCCCAACAGCCTCCCAGGGTGGAGTCACCTAGCAGGGACTCAGTGAGTTATCAGGGACCTGTGGATCTGTGAAAGTACATGCTACTGATGCACACAATACCAAGCCAGACTTGATGACTTTCAAATGCTAAATGCCCTCCTATCACACAGGGCCACCACTTGTCTGTCCGTTTGTCATACTGCTGTGGATTGGGCGTTGCCGTGCTGCTGGAAACTATATCATGAGTATTTCAAATACCAGCAGGGTCACCCAAAGCGAACAGATTTTTAGCAGAGCTTCCAGAATAACAAGAAGGAATCGCTGCTCACATCAGAGGACTATGCAGATGACACACCTTGTTTGCTGCAAGTGAGGCAGTCTTAAAGTACTTGCTGAAGAGGAGCAAGGACTGCTCCTTCATATGGATTACAACTCAAGGTAAAGAAAGCAAAATTCCTCACACTTGGACCAGTGGGCCGCGTCCTGGTAAACAGAGAAAAGACTGAAGTTCTCAAGGATTTCATCTTGCTCGGATCCACAGTCAATGTTCATGGAAGCAGCGGTCAAGGGATCAAACAACACATTGCGTTGGGAAATCTGATGCACAGACCTTTTTAGAGTGTTCTCAGCAAGGCTTTGGCTTTGAGAAATAAGGCACGCCTGACCCAAGCCGTGGTATTTTCAGTCACCTCAGCTGCATGTGCAAGTTGGATGTTGAAGACCAAAGAAGAAGCAATGCATTTGAACTTTGGTGCTGGTGGAGAAGACTGATAGTCCCCTGAACTGTCAAAAGAACCAACAAGTCTGTCTTAGAAGAGGGATAACCGGAATGTTCCTTAAAGGCAAAAATAGCAAGCCTTCGCCTCACGTATTTGGGGCACATTTTCAGGAGAGACCAGTCCCAGAGAAGGACACCGTGCTTGGTAAAGTGGAAGGACATCGAAAAAGAAGAAAGGCCTTGACAAGATGGACTGACACGGTGGCTTCAACCGTGGACTCAAAACGGAACGATGGGGGGGTGGCGCAGGACCAAGCAGTGTTCCGTTCTGTTGTACGTGGGGTGACTGTGAGTCAGAACTGACTCCATGGCCCCCAGCCACCACACCCACATCACCCAAGAGAGAGCCCTGGTGAGATAGTGGGGCTCAACAAAGGTCAACATTTAAAACTCAGCAGCCACTCTGAGGGGATAAGAGGAGGCAGTCCACTTCCATAAAGTGCCTGGGAACCCCCGAGGGGCAGTTCTACCCTGTCCTTATGTAAGGACGCGGTGAGTGGGAATCTACTGAGTGACTGTGGGTTCCGTTTGGGTTTGAGAAATGAATCCAAATAAACGGGGGCAGGAATAATGAGGTCCAGAGGCTGGCAGGCAGCAGGATTCGTTGGTTCAGCAAATTCTTGAGCACTTGGTATGTGCTGGGCCTTGTTCTACAGAATTCTATCAGTGAACACAACAAACAATTCCCTATTCAGACCCATATCCGTCCAGCAGGGTTGACAGGCAAGAGACACTCTTAAAAGAGTAAGTCATGTTGTATGTTTGGGACGGTGAGTTACAGGGGGAAAGAGGGCAGGTTGGAGAAGGTGGAAGTGGTCTAACTATTGGACTACTTGAGAGGGTAACATTTGAACAAAGACTTGAAGAGATAGAGGTAGAACTTGTGGAACTGGGCAGTGTTTTGTCGTGTCTGTGTTTGCCACAATCAGAGAAAAATAGTAATAACATGAGTAACGATGATTCCACGGAAGAAGAAAGTGTCCTGGAATCGAATATGGTGACAGTCGCACAGCACTTCTTGATGGGGTTGAATTGCTGATCTGTATGACATGTGGATGAGTGTTACTGCTAATAAAATGGTTAGGAAAATCAAAAGAAATAGAAGAACTTAATTGTGTGACTATTTGAGGGATATTTCAGGAAGAGTTAGCAGAGCCACGTCCCTAGAGCAGAGCCAAATCCCTAAGGAACTGACCTGACCCCCTTGGGTTAGAGCCTGAGCAGGTGGGTGAACGGAAGAGGGCCAGGCCCCATTTTGAAGGACTGAGAGCACTGAGAAGCTGGCAGAGCAGCAGGCCCCCGTGTCAGATGCCCCAGTAAGCTAGGGAACCACTTGTGAGCACTTACTCATCTGTAGTAAACACCTTACGGGGTTTTTTCCCACCACATCAAAGATTCTGCTTCGAGGTTTGGCTGGTATCTGTCTCGCCCCCTACCCCCAGAGCATCTGCCTTCAGAATCAAAGCTTCTTTTCAAATGTCCAGTGGAGTACCCAGGAAGCTCAGCTGAGCAAAAGGGATTCAGGGCTGGATTCGTGGGGGTCACCTGTCTTACTTCACGCAAGCATTTAAACAGGGCTGGAAGGGAAAAGCACAAGTGTAGTGAGAAAGGCAGGGAGGGTAATAAGAAGGTGGTGTAGAGTAGAGTTTAAGACAAGTTGGCCTCAGGGTCCCGCCAGGAATCAACCATAGAAAAAGAACATCTTCAGACGCTGTTCACCCCATTCCCTGCCACTTTTTTCAAATTTCAGGTCATAAAAGTGGGCAGTCCTCTGTGAACTTGACTTGTACGGTATAATGGGTGGGCTGTTTTCCAAAGACACATTCATCTCTTCTAAGTCACGGATGACCTCAGGATGGTCTCTGGCCATGGGGGGGCTACGGTCGAAGCCGCCTTTGCCTCTACCCTGAGCGTCACCATTGGTCTTGCAGGACCGGGGCTTCTTCGAGGAGCTGATCTGCCTGCTGGAGGAAGCCCTGGGCCTGGAACGGGCCCACATGGGCATGTTTACAGAGTTGGCCATCCTCTACAGCAAGTTCAAGCCACAGAAGATGTCAGAGTACCTGGAGCTCTTCTGGTCCCGTGTCAACATCCCCAAGGTAGAATTAGAAGAGCCCCACCTCAAGGTGGGAATCTGTCTGCAGTGTCCACATGCAGCACCCGCCCAAAACCTTGGCCTGCGACCTCTCCCCAGGTGCTAAGAGCCACAGAGCAGGCTCATCTCTGGGCTGAACTGGTCTTCCTCTACGACAAGTACGAAGAGTATGACAATGCTGTCCTTACCATGATGAACCACCCCACTGTGGCCTGGAAGGAAAGTCAGTTCCAGGACACCATTGCCAAGGTAAGAGGAGAATGCAGAGCACTGGTCCTTGCCTGCTCCCGCTGGGCCTTGTTCTCGGGCCAGGGACCCAGGACAAGGAGGATGTGCTCATCAGGGTGGACTAGAGACACAAATTCATGGACAATCACATGTGTATAAGAAAAGGCTTTATATACAAGAGTAAATGAATATTGAGAAAACATCCCAGCCCAGTCCAGATCAAGTCCCTAACTCCAATATTAGCCTATATGTCCGCTACCAATCTATAAAGTCCTCTTCAGACTCAAAACAAATGCAATGATGCTGAATGCAGGAAGATCACAGGCCAGTGGGTGGGAAGTCTTGCAGTTGCAGTGGCCTTGTAAGCATCTCAGCGCTGGCAGGGGTCTCCACGTGGCTTCTCTGGCTCCATCAGCCTCTCTCCATGTGTCTTCTCCACAGGATGTCTGGCAGGGAGTGAGCAGAGAGAGAGTGTGTCTTCTGCCTCCAAGGAGGAAGCCAGGAGTTTCCAGAATCCTCAGGAGAAGGCCATGCTCACACAGAGGCCTCATTGGCTATATCCTGATTGACAGGCTAGACTCCACCCCTACAGTCTGAATCCTCAAATTGATACCTGATGATGTAACTGCCACCAAGGGCAAGAATTTAAGGAGACCCGCATGGGGCGCACTCCTGGTTAGTTCCATCAACAAAAGGAACGACACTTAGGGCAGCGGCCAGTCCAGCCCACACCGCTGGGCCAGTGCATGGCTGGGTGTGTGAAGCCCAGCCTGTCCGTGGGAGACTGGACCTGTGTGGCCTGCTGCCCCTCCACCTCCACAGGGGTTCTGTTCAGCGCCTGGCCCCCTCACAGGAGGCCCTTCTGCCTCAGCTATCCACTCTGTCTCTCCCACAACCCTCGGGCTCTATTGCCCCAAATTTCCGGTTGTCCTTTTCTTCCTGTGACTTTTCACCCCTTGACCTTTTCTTCTTCACATCTCTCCCATGAAAAGGGCAGGCACCTTGGTTGCGCAGTAAACGCCTGCAAGGTGGACAGGTGAAGCACAGAGCAGGTGTGCCAGGCCTCGCAGGGTTGCCCCTTCCATAGCCAAATTGGATCACAGCGCGACCTTGAACTGCTCTACTGTTGGTTTGGTTAGGCCATCGAGTCGGCTCCGACCCCACGGGGCCCCACGTACAACAGCACCAAACGCTGCCCACTCCTGCCATCCTCCCAGTTGGTGTATTTGAGTGCATCGTTGCAGCTACTACATTGGTCCATCTCACTGGGGGGTGGGGGGGGTGTCTTCCCTTCGTTCACTGAGCCGCCACTTCACCAAGCATGATGTCCTTCATGAGCAACTGGTCTCTCCGGACAACATGGCTAACGTACATGAGATGAAGTCTTAACCACCCACACTTCCTGTTTGGTTGGTTGGTTGGTTTAAATCAGTTTATTGGGGCTTCTTATAACATTCTATACATCCATTGTATCAAGCGTATGTGTACATATGTTTTCCAATACACTTTCAACTTGAGCCTTTGGCATAAGCTCCTCTTTTTCCTCCTCCCTCCCCAACCCTTCCACCCTCATGAATCCTTGATCAAATATATATTGTTCTGATTATTTTGTATCTTACGCTATCCATTGTCTCCCTTCACCCACATTTCTGTTATTTGTCCCCTTGGGGGGGTGGCGCTATATATCCAACCTTGTGATTGGTTCCTCCTTTATCTCCCTTCCCCCTCCCTGACCATCCCCCTACCTGAAAGATATCGCTACTCCCACTACTGTTCCTAAGGGGTTTATCTGTCCTGAATTCCATGTGTTGAGAGCTCTTATCTATGCCAATGTGTGTTTTCCGGTCTAGCCGGATTTTGAGGTAGAACTGGGTCTTGGTAATGGATGGTGGGCAGGGAGCATTCAGGAACTAGAGGAAAGATTTGTGACTCATCGGTGCTATATTGCACCCTGGTTGAATCTTCCCTTCCTTATAACTCTTCTGTGACCACCCTCATTTCTTTTTTTTTAAACAGTTTTATTGACACTTCATTCGCATATTATATACTTCAATAGTTAGAGCATATCAAGAAAAAGTATACAATCATTACCACAATCAATTTTAGAACATTTTCTTCTCCCTTGTACACATTGTTATTTGTGGGGTTTTTTTCATTTCTTTTGTGTTTAATCATTTTTTTAATCATTTTATTAGGGGCTCATACAACTCTTTTTTTAAAAATCATTTTATTAGGGGCTCATACAACTCTTTTTTTAAAAACATTTTATTAGGGGCTCATACAACTCTTATCATAATCCATACATACATCAATTGTGTAAAGCACATTTGTACATTCATTGCCCTCATCATTCTCAAAACATTTGCTCTCCACTTAAGCCCTTGGCATCATCTCCTCATTTCCCCCTCTCTCCCTGCTCCCCCCTCTTTCTTTAATTTTTATAATGTTTTATTTGTTTAAACTAGTTGATTGGGAGCTAATCCAGATATCATATCATTCCATAGTTCAATCACATCAAGCAGTATTCTACAATTGCCATCACAATCAGTTTCCAAATATTCTCTTCCTCCTTGAATTCCTTGACATCAACACCCCTTTTCACCCCTCTCCCTTGTATAATGTTTTAAATATTCCTTTATTAAGTCTTAAGCAAGACAAAGACAAGTCATTGGATGAGGAAGCCCATCATCCCATAATGGTGTCCAAAGGGCTCACAGTCATGTGGCTAATTACATGGAAGAGGGGACACAGAGGAAATTGTCACAAAATCCTGGTCAGTGGCAGACCACCTCATCACTGTTGCAGGAAGAGGACCGTGATTGGAAGACATAGACTGCTGCAGATTAGAAAAGCTCACACAGTTGACTCTGGGGCCTCTGATCGGAGTAAAACCCATTACCATGTGGCCCTGATACTTGACGGCTGTCACTCATCTTCCAGTGGCTGGAATAAGAACTCTGGCCCTAAGTGAAGTCTTTGCTTGGTCACATAGGGGTTTTCAGCCCCAAGGGCAGCTCTTAAGTGGTTCTGTCCCCTTCCCACTTCTCCTAGCTGGGAGGAGAGCACAATCCAAGGGCACCTGGACATTCTCTGGCACCTGAGCTCTCCGTGAGGCATGGGAGGGAGGATAAAAGCATCTCAGCTAAGGACAGAAGAGGAATTGAGCTCCTTGTTTCACTCATTGATGGAGGGGTAACCTGTCTGTGTTTCCTTTCTGCAGACAATTGGGAGGATCTAGTGAAGTTCCTGTGGATGGCCAAGAAAGTGGGCCAAGAATCCTCTATAGAGACTGAACTTACATTTGCCCTGGCGAAAACCGGCCGGCTCTCTGAGCTGGAAGATTACATCAATGGACCCAACAATGCCCACCTCCAGCAGGTAGACTGCTCCCATGGAGGACCGTCAACTGCCCATTTTAGATTAGGGAGCACTCTGTGGGGCGAAGCAGATTCAGGATGGTGCAGACCAAGCCTTCCATCCAATCTACTAACTGAGCCTTGAAAGCTAATTTCTCTGTGGGATAACCAGCATTATCATCCCTGTTTGGTATGGAAACTGAGAATTGTGACATGCCCTTAGTGACACGCATCAGAAAGATTCTCCCAGAAAAGGAGATGTCAAAACTTACATGCAGGGGTTCGAAAGTGTTTCTCACCAGATGTGTTAGTCTGGATTGACTAGAGAAACAAATTTATAGACACTGATAGGTGTATAAGAAAGAGCTTTATATAAAAAGAGTAATTGTATGTTAAGAAAATATCCCAGCCCAGTCCAGATCAAGTCCATAAGTCCAATAATCACCCATATGTCTGGTACCAGTCTATAAATTCCTCTTCAGACTCATGCAACACATGCATTGATGCTGAATGCAGGAAGATCACAAGCCAGTGGGTAGAAGGTCATATGGATCCAGTGGCAGTGGAAGTATCTCAACGCTGGTGTGGGTCTCCACGTGTCTCCTCCAGCTCTCTGAGTGTTTCAACATCAGGAAAAGGAAGCAGAGAGAGTGGGTCTGGCCTCCAGTGAGAAATTTATCTCTGTCGCACCTCCAAAAGAGGTCATCAAGCTGCAACCTGATTGACAGGCTAGACTCCACCCTTTTGCTCAAGTTGACAGAAGATTATGTAACTGCCATACCAGACAACAACATGAATCAATGAGCTTAGAATCTGTAGACTTAGTAAACAGGCTAAATATAAGATATATATTGGAAATGAATAGCTTTCCAACGTGTCAGCCATACTCACAGATATGATGGTGGGGAATGAACTTTAAAGGCCGTGTCTCATAGAGATCTCCAATTCTTGGTAGGTTGGAGACCGCTGTTTCAAGGAGGGTTTGTACGATGCAGCCAAGCTTCTGTATAGCTGTGTTTCCAACTTTGCCAGCCTGACTTCCACCTTGGTCCACCTGGGTGAATACCAGGCAGCAGTAGACAGCAGCCACAAGACCAATAGCACGCAGACCTGGAAGGAGGTAAGATGCAGAGAGTCCTGACAGAACACTGGCCCAATAAGCCTTCTCTTATCATCTGTTCTGATTCCCACGGGCTTCTCTCAGATGGGATAAATTTGGGCATCTGCCTGGTACACAGTCCACACTCTTAGTCCTCTGGCATGACTGGGAGAACCTCGTAAGCTAGTGTTGGTGGTTGGAAGCGAAGATGCGGGGAAACAAGAGTCAGGCTGGTCAACTCTCAGATAGGGTTTTATTAGCAAATTAGATATGCTCTTTCCGTCTGATGAATAGAGGCATCATTTGAAATCTCGTGTTCACAGCACCATCGGTGTGTGGGGACACATTGGTCACCAGAAGAAAGAGCTGAGGTGCTTTCAGTTAAGGGGTTCTCTGTGGATGCTGAAAAGAACCCTGGTGGCAGAGTGGTTAAAGGCTCATGTCCCAACCACGAGGTCAGCAGTTCCAACCCACCTCGGGAGAAAGCTGAGGCCGTCTTTTCTGGAAAGCATGACACAAGTCTTGGAAACCCTTGGGAACAGTTCTACTCTGTCCTCCAGGGTCAG